TGTAGCAAGTACACTAATGACCCCTTGTGCTCAAGTACAAGTAATTCATAAGGCATCCCTTGCTTTTGGGATGGTACAACATGCTTGGAAAAAACATGCTCAAATAAACCAACACCTTCAATTAATCAAACAGAATGTAATAGTTGGCTAATTAACTGTTAATGGAATAGCAATAATAATCAATGTGTAGAAGATTGCACTTAAGCAGATATTTCGAATAACACTCATCAGCTATGTGAATCCTATTTATTAAATAAAAATTGCACTGTCAAACTAGACCTATTTCAATGTGTAGACCTTCCATTTTCTTGCTCTTTAGCAAAGAAAAATTAATGTTATAAAGACTAATTTGGAAACGAATGCTTCTTTTAAGTTTCATCAAATTAGTGTTTAAATTTAACATGTTTAAACTTGTCAGCAACATATACAACACATGATAAATGTAACTCAAGATTAAAATTCTGTACAGTTAATTCAACTCTGAACGGATGCCAATAATTAAATGTTTGCAGTGGTTATTCAATCAAAGAATAATGCTAAATCGATTCAAATAAGGTAGAATGTTAATGGATGATTAGTTAAAATAGATGTACAATAAAGAACTGTTAAACTGCACAATTACCCTTATATTCAGCATATAGCTGTCATTAGAGTTTTGGGAATTCGTGTACTGTAAATGAAAACTTAGATGGATGTGAGATTGGTCAACCTTTGTGCATGAAATACCCATATAATCAATGCAAAAGTGAAGACCAAATGAATTTGAGTGGAGTAAACTGTTTCTGGAATGAAGAAAAGAGTGTTTGTTAAGAGAAGATTTGCGAGAATGGCCCTCCACTTGCCCAATCTCATTCAGAGTGTATAGGATTTCTCTCTTCTTGTTAAAAAGGTGGTTGTCGTATAAAAGAGTGTTATGATTATAATTATGCTATAGACTCAGCTTGTGCTTCAATATTCGAAAGTAAGAGATGTGTGACCAATGGATATCAATGCGTTTTACGAAAAGCTTGCGAAGATGTCAATGTCATGGATGGTTGTACTTTTGATATCAATCTCAAACTTTGCGTTTGGATTAATGACAAATGTTTTACAAAAACATGTGGAACTGCTTCTACTTCTCTTACAACACATCAGATGTGCAATGCATATTTTCCAATTTGCACAGCTAAAGAGGGAGGAGGTTGTGCTAAGATACAAAGTTGTCAGAATTACCAAATAAAAGAAGCTTGTTATACTGATAGTGAAAATATAGAATGCATTTGGGATGATACTCTAAATTAATGTTTTTCCAATCAATGCATAGATTTCTGTGGGGATGGTATTGTATCTAGTAAAGAAGAAGAATGCGACGATGGCAATTATTTACCCTACGATGGTTGTTATAAATGCCAAGTGTAATGTCCATAAGGATGTAATGTTTGTAATGGTTCTACGTGCTAAAATTGTCATATGAACGGGTGGGTATTGAATAATGGTATTTGTAAATCAATATGTGGGGATGGTTATGTAGTAGGAAACGAATTTTGCGATGATGGAAATTAGATTTAATATGATGGATGTTATTAATGCTCCTATTCTTGTCACTAACGATGCCTTAATTGTTTCTAAGGATTATGTTTACTTTGTGAGAAAGGATATATAGAAGATTAATCATAATGTCATAATGTTTGCGGGGATGGTTTTCTTGTCCAACAAATAGAATAATGTGATGATGGAAATAATTAGAATAATGATGGATGTAGTGACGTTTGTAAAGTTGAGAGCGATTGGAAATGCTAATAGGAAAATAATATCAGTGTATGTAACTATAGTATTAGACCTAAAATTATACTTACTAGGCTCACAAAAACAAACTAAGATATTCAAGAATTTGAATTATCATTTAGTGAGCAAGTTCGTTTGAACATTTATAACATTAGCGATGAACAATTTCTTTAGATGATTGTTATTGTAATCGAAAATGCTAAAGATAATGAATATGATATTGAAATCAAACCCAAGATATCAATTACCTCTATA